AGAGGAGGGCTCTGGAGGGAGGCAGGAGCAGAGGGGACACGCTCCACTCCTGCTCTCCAAACCAGCTCCAGAGCCGTGAGTTGCTAGCTTGCAGCATATGCTTTGAATTGTTTTAATTTTTAGAATTTTTTTTTTTTATACTCCAGTGTTTCTCTTCCCAGGGCGAGGGGCTTGGAGGAGAGAGGGCAGAGGAAAAGCTGCAATCAGCGACAGTTGCCTGTAGATTCCCTGGGTAGTTGTTCCTCCTTCTCCCCCATGAACGAAAACAGACCCTCGGGGAGAAAAAGAAATACAACGCAGCCACTCTGACTGAGTGAAGTTCCCATGACATCAGAAACCGCAAGGCCGAAGCTCACGCTAAAAAGGAGCATTGGGAGAGAAGAATCTCTTGGACTCCCATTCTCGACTCGGGGCTCGAACAACTAACCCCTTCCCTCCACACACGCACAGGCCTGGAGCGAGGGTGGGAAAAGAGCCTCCAAAACCAGCTCTCTGCCTACTGTAAAAGCAAGCAAAGCCAATCAATCTGCTTTGGGAAATTGCTGCTGCCCTTCTGCAAGGTCTGTGTGGCACCAGTCTGCAGCAAAGGAAGAAAGAGAGAGGGAAAGGGGGGCGGGGGGAACCCAAAAAACTCCACTGCTTGGAGGACAATGTGTTTCAAACCCACTGACCTCGGGGCTGGAGCACCGGGGGAAGCGAGTCTGTAGTTTTGACCGCTGCCGGGAGAGCGCAGACACATCCCCACTTCCCCTCGGCGGTTCTCGTGAGCTGGGGGATGACGGATGAGCCGCTCAGCCGCTCCCGCTCCCCTCCGCCGTGCATGCTTTCCTTGCGGATACAAGATGAAACGCGCAGATACACAAAGCACGACGCTACCCAACAGGGCCAGCGCACTATTAAGCGCAAGGATTTGGCACCGGCGGGCACCCAAGTTGAAGGCTGCCAGGGAGCTCAGCGCCAGGCGGTTTGCTCAAAGCATCCCCCTCCTCCCCATACGGGAGATTCGGCTGCATGCATTTTGACGCCAAACCTTCCTCCAGCATCACTACCCTTCGCAGGGGCACAGTCTGCATCAGCCACCACCACCGTGCTTTGCTTCTCCCCGCTTCCCAAGCCAGAGCGAGCGAGAGCAGGGAGGGGGGTGCCTTGGCTGGTCGGCCCCACAGAGGGTCCGGGGGCCGTGTGAGCGCCTGGCACGGCTGCCACCATGGCCCTTCTCACCCAGGGTGCCCAGCGAGGGACGGTTTGCCTACGGTTTCAAACTGGGGAGGGAAAAATAAGGAGGATGAGGGGGGAACAAAAATATTCATCTCCTTCCAGCCACAAAGGGCGCAGAGGGAGAGCTGGGGGGGGGAGGGAGAGCTTGGGGGGGGGAAGAGCGAGAGGCGGCGAGCATGCTGCAGTCCCGCAGTGACCCCAGGGGAACGGTGTGAGTCAGAGCAGCCATACTGAGCAGGAAATTACTCACAGACGCGGCGTTCCTGCCTCTCGGTTCCCAAGAGAATCGGCCTTTTGTAAATGGTTCCTCTGTCAGTGCCGGGGGGAGGGGGAAGGCTGAGGCCGTGCTTTCCTGTCAGCTCCTTCCCTTCCAGCCGAAATCCGAGCCCTCCCTTCCCAAACCTCCAAATTTAGAAGCCAGATTGAAGCTGAAATTCCTGTTGCCTGCTCTGGGCCCTCAGAGGAGCATCTGGGCGATCGCACTGATCCACCACAACAGCTGGGGCGTACCCGGCACCCCTCTTCTGCACAAACACACACAGCCCTGCCATCGCTGCCGTCCACAGCCCCTAGCGTGGCAGGCACCACAGAGATGCTCCCAAACTCTCCTCATCCTCACATCTACGGGTACCACATGCACCCTGCAGCACACTTTGGCAGGCAAGGCGGCAGTAGGGGGATAGCTCAAGTCCCAGCCGGCTCTGTAAACCTCACTCTATTCAAGGACCACGCGTTCAGGTCCAAAACCACCCCGCAGATTTCCCAAGAGCAGGCCAGCTTACGCAAGGCTCGCTGCCGTGCCTGTGCGCCGTGCAGGGGGGTGCTGTTGTATGGAGGATGCCTCAGTGGGTTCAGCCTGGACATCACCTCGCTGCTACTTTAAGAGCCTGAGGTTTAAATATACACGTGGCAAACACCACGACAGTGTATATTCATATCCTTGAAACATCACCCAGGGGCTAAGAAAAATATCTGCTCAAGAGACTATTCTCTCAGTTGAAAGAAAACAACCTAGCTCCGTTGTAGCTTGCTGAAACAAAACCTGCTCTCATGTCGGTAAGATGTACCAGACCCACTATGGGAACTGTTGTGGTATTTGCTACATGTTTAACACCTTTAAAGGAGAGCTGTTTCCAGCTGACAAGCTCAGAAGAAAAGAATGTCGTTCATTTATTAAAGTCTTTAATCCCTTCTATCTTTTTCCCTGCTATTTTGTTTTGTTGTTGATTTTGGAGAGAAAGCGTTTGGAGGGCACTGGAGGCTGTCTCAGCCCCCTCTAGTGGCAGTAACAGCCTTCCCAGGCATTTGGGAGAGAAAAAAACAAATTTTAAAAGCAAAAATCTTTACAAAAAGGAAACAGTGCCTGCATGAAGACAGACTGAAAATACCATGCATTTGATAATCCAGGTTGTTGCCATCCCTTAGCGGCTCCCACCAGGAGGGCCCGAGAAGAGGGCTCCTTGCCACCAGGTGGCACTGAGGAACTCAGCAGAAACACTGAATTCCACGATTCTCAACAAATAAGTGAAATCATTTATTTTAAAAGCCTACTAAAAAGCTAACCTTCTGCAGGCAGAAGCAGAGTGACCTGAAGAAGCAATACGGTGCTGTGTATTTCAAACTCTACATGTCATCCGTGCACCACAGAATTTTCTACACACATGTCAAGAGATGCATGTTTTTATGTTTTTAAGAGGTTACTGCATTGTCTGGATATTACAGAGGCCCAAATTAAAATAAATCTCTGAGCGTCTTGGCTCCTGCTTTCCTGTCCTCATCCTGATCTCTTCCTCCAGTGCCTCTTTACTACCCATGGCATGATTTATCTCTGCATTAAGGGTTAAACCCTGTGAGGTGCTAAGTACCAAAACAAACCCTACTAGATTCAGAACACAGCACCTCCTGGGGTTTGGGCCAAAGGCTTCTATGAAAATTTCCTACATGAAAGGCTACGTTCATATGCTGTAACCACCCTTCCCATCTAATCACTAAATTAAAGAGGCAGGGGGCAGGGAAGTGAACAGAGCAAAGGGGAAGAATTGCACTCTGTCCTTCAAAATTAACCCCATCAACTCTCTTTTGCCATAGTCAAGAAGTCCCTCCCCACAATGGAGCATGTGGTTCTTGCTCTCCCTGCCCAAATCGTGCAGCAAGGGGGATGGTAGAAACACGGCCAGATCATCCAGGGCAGCTGAGGGCAGAAAGCTGTGAGCTCCCTCACTGGGAAACACTGCTCACGGTTGGCAACAAGCTGAATATCACCAGTCCCTCACCCATGGGCCCTACAGTGCTTGAGCAGAAACACGGTCCTGATAGCGTTGCCAGCTGGGTGAGTCTCAGCACTATCTCTGCTCTAGATCCTTTGCAAATAAAGTGCATTTCATGGGCAACTCTTTTGGTAGAATCTGGAGAAGATCCAGCTGCACAGAGGTCTCCGAGCTTGCCCTAAGCAAGGGGAGGCCCAGGGCCTGCCAGGCAGCACCCAACGGCTGGAGGGAAGGGAGGTTATCTTGGCGAGCCCAGTCATTTTGCAGCTCCTACTTCAGCTTCCTAGCATACTTGCAGGCACTAGTCTTCTCCATCTAAGTTCCCACTGACTGATCCAAGTGATGATCCAAGGTTATTTGTTTGCTCTTGTTACAGCTCCCTTCAACTGCAATCCACAACCCGTCTAGCTTAATTATACTTTCCTCTCAACATCCCTGTCTCAACTCACTCAAGGAGAGCACCTCAGACATGCAACAATGGTTCATCCGCACAGTTCCGTGAGAGCAAACAAACAAGCAAAGGAGGAAGAGAAAACCACAGCCAGAGCCAAGTATCTAATGTCAAGAGAACTTCCCTGTGGGACAAACCTTCCAGTCCTCACCTCTGTAATGAAGAGGATGCACTCCAGGAACATGAAGTCCTTATGGTTTTCGTTTACCACCTTCTCATCAACAAAGTGTCGTGGCTCCAGATTTGGATGGTCTAAAAAGAGCAAGAGACAATAAGAAGTAACCTGTACGGCACCCCTCTTCTGAGACCAAGTTCAACCAGGTCTTGTCCTGCCCCTCTTCTAGAAGAAACATGATCCTCCCATCAGAGCTCTTCAGAAGTCAGCACAGAGCTGCTCCCTTCCATCTCATCTCCCACTCCAGTGCCTCAGCAGTGAGAGCACCTGGTAAACTCCCCAGGGCAGAAAATGTGTTTTCTAGCACCAAAACCAAGACTGTCCTTTTAAAAACCTTGTAATCATTGCAATAAAGACAGAGGTACTGTACAAGGAAGCCTTCCATCTCCCAACCTAAGCAACTAGCTTTATTTGGAAAGCTGAAGGAAGGAAAAAAAATCCAAGCCCCAAGCGAACTCTTCTGCTGTATTACACACAAATTTGACATATTTGAATTTTAAAGTCTGTCCCAAGCCCCATCATCCTTGTAACCTAGACAGATGGGGCAGGTTGGGACACAAGAAGTTTTTTATTAGTACCTATCAGCTGGGAACTGCCCCATATGAAAGGCAGGAATTGGAAGTCATCCAAACCCCACACGCCCTGGCTGCCAGCAGGTTCCATTCTGTAGGTCTTCTGAAGTTTTCGCATCACTTCTAGGTACCTGAGACCAAAGAGAGAAGGAATGGTTAAGACAAGGCCGCCTTCTGTCTTCATTGACTTACATGAGGATAAGAACAACCAGTCTGAAGCAGGACACAACTTTATCACTTGCAAGCAGGACCCCCACATAGAGCACAGTACACAGAATCTATATTCAGCTCCTTTGCCACAGAAAGCAGCCTGATGGCATGTATAGTAGCTAATACTAGAACCTTTTAAAAACTGGAATTTTTTTTTTTTTACACCAAATTCACTAAGAAATCAAGTGGCAGGGGTTTATTTTATCTGCAGTGTCTTGTGTTGGTGCAGATCTTACCCCACTGTTATTTGAAAACATTGACACTTTGCTCTCCTTCAACAACTTCCAAAAGATCTCAGAAAGCTTTCCATCTTACAGGAACCACTACTTCCACTTTTCAGGTGGAAAATTAAGCTGGAAGTACTATTGAATGAAATTGTTTCCATGCCACCAAACAGTGATACAGCTGGGATTAGATCTCTGGACTCCAAACACCCATTCCACCAGTTTCCTCACTACCAACTCTACCTCCTGGGCTGGAAACACATCTAGGGGAGCAGTGGAGGCCTGCCAGTTTCATAGAGATTTCTTTATTTTTGTAATACCTGACGAGATGTTAGATCCTCTGATCAGATAATTCCTGTCTATCACAAAGCACAGAGCTTCACCCACGTACCTCTGCAGAGCTCAATAACTTGTGCTCAACTACAGTAACTTTCCAGAAAGACACTCAGCATCTAACAGACAAGGTGTTTTCACCTCTTTTGGAGATAGTTATAATGGGTCACCACACAGTCCATTAAAAAGCATATCTGCCTCCTAATTTTGTTTGTCTTCAGTTTTCCCATTCTGCCCTTCTTCCTAGGCCAGTAAGCCCTTCAGCACTCACGTTCTCTTAAAAAGCGTATCTGCCTCCTAATTTTGTTTAAGTTTGTCTTCAGTTTTCCCATTCTGCCCTTCTTCCTAGGCCAGTAAGCCCTTCAGCACTCACGTTCTCTAATTATGTACACGTCTTTGTAGAAAGCCCTTGATTTGCCCAGCTCGCACCCCAGGAGGAGGCTCTTCTTGCAATTTCTTACTCCCAAATGGGTGCAGATCAGTGGAAGAAAGGGGACACAATCAGCCGAGACTACAGGAGGAGTCTGGTGTACAGAACAGGCAGTAACATCTCACACATCCCAGACAGCTGTAAGGGGAGACTGTCAGGGACCTGCCCCCAAAGAGCCAAATGCTTCCAGCCCTTCTCCTTCCATTACCTCACCTGTTAAATACTTTAAAGACGATGGCCATCTGGTCATCCACTCTGAGCACACCGATTTTGCAGAGGCAGCAGAGAAAGGCTGCAAATGCAGCTTCGTGCCCTAGAGTTAAAAGACAAAGAGACATGACACTGGTGTCTCTGGTCCCCGGGACAACCCTTCTGTAGGAACCACAATGGCTTTTCAGAAATCACAGCAGTCACAGCCCCATCTCAAAAGCCCCAACCCTATTGTCCCTGTTAATGCCATGAGCTGACAATATTTCATCTCCATGCAGCACCCATCCAAAGTATACTTTCTAGACATTCATAAGGTGATTATTAACTTTGAGAAAAGAAGTTCTTGAGGAAAAACATGCCCAGGAAAAACTGTGCATGCTGGGAGCAAGGCAGGGCCTTTCCCAGGAACTTGGCACAGCAGGGGAAGTGGAGCACCACAGAGTCATCTGCTTGAGGGATGTGAGAGAACCTCACATCTGCAAGTAAACAGATTTCCTCCGACTTCAAAAATATCTCTGTGTTGGAAGGATGCAGATCCCATGATGCTGCCGGGAACAGTCTGTCACAGAAGGTATGGGGATCTCAGGCTGAGCCTCTGCAGCTTGGTCCTCCAGCTAACAGCAAGGGAAAGAAAACCAGCAAACCCAGAAATGTCTTTTAGTGGAAGGGACCACAAAAGAAGGGAGAGTACAAGACCAGCAGCTCCATGCTACGAAGAAGCGCAGCTCCCAGCGTAGGAACAAAGTGCACCTATGGTCTAGCCACTGTGAGCTAGAACATGGGCTTCTGGCTCGGGACACACAGGAGAGGAGGAAAGGCTGAATTGCCTCCCCTGAGCTGACAACCCCCAGCCAGCGGGTCCCTTTCCAAAGCCAACATCTCCCCCTGGTGCTGGCGAGCCGCAGCTCTCCTGGCAAGCACTGCACAGCCTCCAGTTCTTCATCCTTTTGCCCACGTCCTCCTCTTCCTCTCCCTGTCCAGGTCGTAGGTCATGTTTCCTTGCACCCACAGCGTCCTGCTGTCCTGCCTTCTGGTAAGGTCACACCTGTCCTCCAGACAGAGGAGCACAGCACGTAGATGATTCTGGATTTAGGTCTAATTGAAGCCAGTGTGTTTACTTCAACCTGCAAATTAGTGTCTCCTTAGGTGCAAAATGCTTCTACCTTCAGATTTCAAAGTCCCTCTGTAAGCAGTGATGTCACTTCTAGGAAGCACCAGTCCTCAAGACACTTCCCACTGAGCATGAACGTGGTTCCCACTCCAGTTCCAATTCAAGCAATTGTATTTTATCCCTCTAAACTGCCTATTGCAGATCAGCAGGTGCAGGACTGCTGTATGCAGTAAATCAGCTCCTACAGCTTATCCCAGAATGGCTTGCACAGCTTGGTTCACATCTCCTCAGACGAGACGTGAAAAGGGCATCATAGCTCTAGCACAGCCCTGCTCCCAGGCCCAGCCCTCTCAGTCATAGCCCCACTGGACACAGCGGTGAGGAGGCCCTAGAAGGAAGGTGTTTGTTTCAACCTGGTACTAAAAATAGTGGCAATGACACATTTAAATAAATGCAGGACCAGGCTCCAAAGGATCACTACCCGAGGGAGTCCAGCCTCGGCCAGCATGCAGGCCCAGGTACCTGTGCCATAGTCAATGCGGGTGGAGTTCCCCACCGATTCCTTTAAGTACACGGCCACTTCTGGTGCAGCATCAGCCAAATGCTTGGGAATCACTGTTGCCACCAACTTTTCTGCCTCCTGAAAGACACAAAAGACTCCCTTGAGTGAGTGCAGATCTGTCACAGTCCCCAAGAACAAGTCATCCTCTGCTCAGACACTGTTGCAGAGTGGGAGCTGCAATGGTGCACTCCTACAATGGCCAGAGTCACCTTGAGTGTGTGCAGATCTGTCACAGTCCCCAAGAACATCCTCTGCTCAGACACTGTTGCAGAGTGGGAGCTGCAATGGTGCACTCCTACAATGGCCAGAGTCAGCACGACAGAGGATCGAATTCTCCTGGTGAAGAAGTTATCTCCGGAGACGAAGCAATTCAGGAAGAGCTTGTCCTGACACTTATCCAGGCCACACACATCCTGCAGGAAAAGAAAGCTTCACCATCCAAGTACATCAACCTAGTTACCCACTGAGTCATCTCCAGGACAAAAGCATTAATAGAACAACAGACCACCTGCAAGCTCACTGCTGCTGGGACTGTGCTTGTGCCACCTCCAGAGCTCAGTGCAGGGCAAGTGCTCTGAGCTCAAGGAAGTCGAGCACAACCTTCCTCTGATTTTGTGTCACCCATCAGCTAGCAGACACAGTGGGCAGTTACAAAGCAAAGAGGTTCCCTGAGCTTGGAGAGCCCTCATGGTTCATCCAGGACGTGGAGACCAAGCCAAGAGCATTTCATGGACCTTACGCTCTCATAAGAGGAGAAGACAGCATCAAATCAGTGGCAAATTATGCTTATCAAGAGGTGGATCTTTCACAGCTTATCTGAGCAATTCCTCTGTAGGCTGCTGACAGAGCCATCCTGCTACCCCTGCTGGGCACTGTCCCCTTCTGTAGGAGCAGCATGTAACACTACATGTGAAAGACATGCTCACCTGGTCTAGTTTGGCATACCAGGTCCTGAAGGCTTTGTTCCCAAAGCGAGAAGGTTGATCCACTGGCGGGGTTTCATCAATCCATCTGTCAAGGGTGTTCAGAAGAGCCACCAGCTTTTCAATGGGCTAGAGAGACAAAGAAGATGAGGGGTCACAGTGACATAAAACAGAGAAGTCCCTCAGGCTCTGACATCTCTGCCCTGGATTGGAGTCATTAAAGCCCACACCACCTTTCCCAAGGGTGGCAAGCAGAAACATGATGTGCCAACCCTCCCCAAAATGCAGAGAGGCCAGGAAAACCATGCTTCCCCTCAGAAGATCAGTCCAGCACAAAGCCCAGCCTGAGGCAGGCTCTCCAGTCGCCCACACTGTCTTTCATGAACTTTAACAGCACTATGCTTTAAAACCTCTGGGAGAAGAGCAACAGCAAGCTCCTAGCTGTAGGGCATACAGGACTGAGCAGCAGGGAAGCGCTACACAATTCAGAGATCTCCAACATAAAACCCAGGCTCTGCATCTTGAGGGTCCTGCATCCCCCATGGGATAGAGCACAGCACTTACCGTATACCCTCACCAGTGGCTTATGATGTGATTTAAAGGCCCTTCTCAAGGCCTCTAATCTTTGTCCTAAAGTGTCTCTTAGGAGCCAGGATTAGCAGTGATGGTGTTAGTGTTTGTACAGCGCCCAATGCAGCAGGGCCTAATCACAATTCAACCCTCTCAGCATGGTTCCTGTTTCTTCAAACTCATACCAGCCAGACTGCCAGGACAACTCCAACCCAAGGATACTCAGTGCACATGGCAAAATACAGCCTATCGAGGGGAAGAGGCAGTCTGGTTTGCCCACCAGTGGTGTCATCAGAGCAAGCATGAGAGGCTCTCGGTTCTCAGAGAAGTGTCTCAATACAAACAGAAAGCTGATGGGAAGGCAACAGCAAGACAACAGAGCCATTGTTCTTACACCTAGTGCTGGAAGGAGAAAGTGAGGAAACTGCGTAGGATGTATGAGAGTGACTGCAGGCGGCATTGCTGTGGCCATGAAGGAAAAGAGAGGTGCAATAGGCGATAGAGGACGATGTCTCAAGCTGTACTGTTAGGACCAGGGCTGGCCAATGCACCCAGCCTCTTCTCTGCCTTGCCCATACATCTGGGGAACAGCTACACTTCATGCACCAACAGATAACACCACAGGCAGCACTTTAAGCAGCTCCAAACAGTTTTAGGAGGCTCTGCCGACAACCGGTCAAGCCTGCCAGAGGTTCTTGGACTCTCCTCGCCTGACTCCAAGCAGCCGGAGAGCCGTCAGCTGCCACAGCAGCTGGCCAGGCCCCGGGCAGTGTAGGCTCCTCTGTCTCGAGAGGGGATTCCTCCTTCAAGGGGACAAAGAGGACAGCAGAAGCAGCGGTTGGTTTGACTTTGCTGGAGGCATCGACCGTGTGAAGCTGGCTGGTCTCCTGGGCTGTGGTTCAATTCTTCACGCTGCCTGCCGGGAGGACGAGGAAACAGCCGAGCCCAGCAAGTTTCAAGCCCTTGAAGTGCCACTTGAAGAGGGCGGGCGGAGAGACAGGCATGGCAGAGCTGTGCTGCCACTGAACCAGCTGCGGATCGCTCCCCATGCTCTCTGCACCCAGGAGGAAGGGTCTCTTGGCAGGCACAGCCTCCCCCAGACAGTAGCTCCTGAGGTGCCATCCTGAGGACATGGTGGGAAGCAGGATCTGGCAGGGGAGGGATCCACCCACCCCACAGGATCTCGACACTCGAGCCAGGTCAGAGGCTGGGATAGAGGAGAAGACCTGAGCACACCAGGAACACAAAGGACCCAAGTGCCAAGGGACACAGGGGGCCAGAAGCTCTGGTGCTGCAAGGTAGAGCCACTAGCAGGCCAGTGCCCCAGATACGCGTGGATCGAGGCAGCACAGCCCCCTCTGCTTCAGCTCCCTGCTGCCCAAAACGCTGCAGAAACCCAACATCTCCCCACTGCACCAGGCCAGGTTTGGACTCAGCTCTCCTCCTTCCTGGCTATTGCACTCAACTCCAATTAAGCAACAGCATCCCCAGCACTGGGTTGCATTAAATAATTAAATCGTACTGGTGATTTATCCGCCGGCACCAGCAGCTCATTACGAGCAGCCACCGTATTTCAAACCCCTCTGAGCGAGCACTCAGTGCTGCCTGGATAAATGGCTGGCAAGGACCAGCTCCTTCCCCCTCCCCAGATCTGCCCGCAGGCCTTAGGGAGTGTGAGAGTCAAACCTCCCCTTCCCCACTCACTTGCTTTAAAGGGATTATAAAGCCCAGCCCCACTGAACACGGGAGAGCAGGACCCAGCTGCTGGCTCAGCCATGCCAATAAATAATTAAAGAGATGCGGCTCATTTTGGGCTCAAGGCCCTTTGAAAAGGGAGTTACTAAAAGAAGCAGCTTCCCATTGTCCAGCAGATGAAACTTGTGCACCCAGAGCCGAGCCTAGCAGGGGAGAAGGAGGGGAAGAGCAGAGCTTATGGGAACACAACCATCAGCACCACTGCAGCCTTGTTTTGCCTGGCTGGGTTTTCAAGCTCTATTTTTGCTTTACCTTTCCAGTGATCAAAGCAAGGGCAGCCTCCACCCCCCTGCTCTCCTTGGTCTTCTCGTTGTGCTGATTTTGCATCCCCTTGACCCTGAGTCTGCCACCGGTCCCAAAGGCAAACCACAGAGCCTCCTGCAGTGCAGAGACCTGTCAGCATCTCTCAAGAGCAGGGGCTGGGCAGCCGGAGGTGCTGAGAAGGCATCATGGCAGTCAAAGCCGCCTGGGGGGACCAAGCCTGCTCCTGTGGGCTCTTTGGGCCCTGCTGGAGGGGAGAGCTGCTAAAATTGGGGTATTTGCAGCTTTCCCCAGTTCCCTCCTGGAACCAGAGCAAAACACAAGGCCAGTCAGTTTGCCCCAGTGCAGCGGGTTGTTTGAAGGGAAGGTCTGCTCCCTGCGTGGCCAAAATTAACCTCTTCCTTGCCGCACTGCTCCTCTGATCAAAGTCACAGCTTTGAAAAACTGCTCCGGGCTGCAGCCCCAGCAGTTGCTGCATGGATCCTGACGTGAAAAGCACTCTCTCCAGGAGGAGAAGGCAGGTCACAGCCCATCAGTCGGACAACCTTGTGCCAGACATAGCATCTACGCCAGAGTCCTAAACAACAGCTCCGCTATCACTACTTGTCAGATGCCTCCAGCAAAGCCCCAGACAGCTCCAAACAATTTTTCAGAAAGAGCACAGCAAGCTCCACAAGTCTCAGAAGGGGCTGAGTCCCCAAAGGATCCAGCTCTTGCTCCAGCAGACAGTTTGGTATCGACACACGCTACTCTGGAAACCATTAAGCTGTCTCTTTAAAAGCAGAGCAGACCATACTTGCTTTTTTTTTTCCATGGCAAAGCAATACTAGTAAGTCATGGAGAGGATACACGTTCAGCAAAAAGGATTCCAGGAGGTCATTTGCCAAAGGAAGGCGTCACCAGCATTTGATCAGGGAGGAAGATGGGACGGCACAAAAGCACATCAGCAGCAGGTACGGCATAAGAGAAGAAAGCAGAGCAGAGATGCAAGCAGAGGCCACAAGGGGCTGAGCCTTTAAAAGCATAGATAAGCAGTTTGATCTACAAACGAACTCGTGTGAACAGGCAACCTCATCAGCGAGGCAACCCTGGGGATGCTCCACCTGTGCCTCAAGTCACAGGCTTCTGCTCTGCTCCATGCGAGGGGAATGAGATGTTCCCTGCCACTTCCCAAGCAGTCAGGATCGTGTCTCTTGTTTGTCACCTGGACTGGGACTGTGGATGGAAAACATTCACTCCAAGAGGGATCTGCTGCACGGGCATAGCCCTGATACAGCTCTTCCTAGACAGCTGACAGCTCAAAGGGGTTGGGAGAAGAGGGGGGTTTTCCCCCCTCCCCCCTTTGTTTTGCTCTGCTCACTTTTAATGCTTTGTTTCCCTAGAACTGCTCTGTGAATGGTTGGGAATGAGCGAGATCACAACAAAGACAAAACTCAAAGGTGAAATGCAAACAGTGGAAAGCAAGAGCAGCATTTGACAGCAGTTTCTACTGAACTGAAGGAACAAAAGGTGGACCTACAGCCTGTTAGGGAGGGACTCATTATCCCTGATCCACCCCATGAACTACAAGCAAGTTTCTCATTCACGCACTGGCTCCTAGAAGGGAAGGCTGGCCTTAACATGCCTGCTTCAAACATAAATGACTAGGTTAAAGATCATCGTAGGCTGCCTTCCCACCCCAGAATGAAGCTACCAACACACAGGGCTCAGTCCGCTTCCACTCTGCCTAGATCTTTTTAGACCGTTCTCTGTTTTCTTGCACAGCCGTGGTAAGTTTGAACAGTAAAAATGTACCCAAGAATCTCCTCATTGCAATGCAGAAAGAGGGAGGGGGGATCCAGCACGCAATGTGGAAGTGAAGCTGGTGGCCCACATGTGCTCTGCAGACCATGGCAGCACCCAGGGAGACCTCAGGCCAGCACTGAGCACAGCTCAGGCCAGGCAGTAACACCACTGAGGATGCCTGCCCTTTCCCTCTGGCTCTAAACGATCTCGCTGTGCCTCGATAAGGGGAACAGGCATTAAAACCGGCCATGGCAGCAGATAGAACCAGGTGACAGTCACATTAATGCAAGGGGAAAAATAGGTCCTTTCTGCTTAACACCTCGGAAGGGGCGATGGGGCCCCAGAGCCTAAACCCACCTCCCCAGCCCAGCACTCCTGCGTGCTCCACAGCACCCCGTGACCCTCGGCACGACCCTTGGTGAGGCAGGGCCACTCAATGACAAGCCTTGAGCTCACACGCTATCAAACCAGACCTCGTACAGCTTCAGCTGCAGCACGGGCCGAGGAGATCGATGCTTTTAACACAGTCTGAGCAACAAGGAAGCCCAGGGACAGGGAGACAAGCAACTTGGCCAAGGTCCCACAGAAACGCCAGTGGGAGAACGGGAATGGTACAGACATCTCAGCCTTTGGCCTGCAACCAGGAGGGAACATCACATCTTCAAAACACCACTGTTTGAAGCCAGACTGTGAAAACAGGGTCAAAACATGTCCTTGCCTCATCTTCCTTTTCACCACCAGCTTCTCTCCACTTGTAACTTGCTTGATTTCCCATCCAGCAAGCACACACAGAGCCTCTGCATCCTGGGGGCAGGATTGCAGGCTGACATTTGCATCCCCAAGCATAACCCAACCACATTTATTCTTCCTGACTCCCAGATAAGCTGCCAATTCATTCTTTGCTTAGGAAATAGTCACTGTAGAGGCAAAAAAAAAAAAGATTCAAAAAAAAAAAGGGCAGAAAAGGAGAAGCAAGGGGATCCAAACCCTTCTCCTACCTCTGAAACTTTGTATTCGCAGGTTAGCTTCTTGCCCCTGACACCTTCATTCAGAGTGAGGATGAAGCCCATGTAATCTGCGTATGCCTGCAAACACACCCGAGAAGGCAGGGCGTTAGTGAATACCCACAGTCTGTTTGAACAAGCAATGCGCCATGGGAGCACTCCTGCACACCAAGGGAACCTTTCCCAACACACATTGCTGCTTTCCTGGAGACACCCAGGGTGCAGGGCTTGCTGTGAGGTTACTGCTGGTTTTGGCAGATCTGGGAGGCAGATGGCGATTGCACCAAGAACTCTGCATTGCTGTAAAAATTACAGGAAGGAGAAGCCTAAAAATGCTTGCACTGCCCCTGAAATCATTCCCTCAGCTCCCTGCCTCCTATCAGGTCAAATTCAAACTCCTCGGCTCTGCAGAGTCCCAGTTGTGCCTAGACATCCTGCTCTGCACTGCTTCTCCCAGACCTGTGCTGTTATCTCCCCTTTCCTCCTTCTATTCTTCTCCCAAGCTCATGCATGATGGAGAAGTGGGCGATGGCCCAGGCTCCTCAACGCTCTTCTCTTTCAATTTGCTGATTTTGACGCA